CCCCAAGTCCTTCTCAGCAGGGCTGCTCTCAATGCCTTCATCCCCCAGCCTGGGGGTTGCATAACCAAGGACACTGCATTTGGCCTTCTTGAACCTCATGAGGTGCACATGGGCCCAGTTCTCAAGCTTGTCCTGGATGTGGGGGTACACTGTATTTGCATATAGAAGTCTGTAAAAGAGAAGCTAATGTCCAAAAGTACTTCAAAGAAATTTTAAGGTCAGACAAGGAGAAAAAAGTCTTTCTGTATTTCCTCCACATGTAACAAGTACATCAAATTATCAGCACAACAGATATGTCCCAGCCGCCGAGATTCACAACACCATAAAGGCAACAAGATGCTACAGCAGTAAGACGTGCCCTATATGCACATACTATATATACTACACGCCTTCTCCACCAGCTGTTTTTTGTAGCTGTTGTTGATCAGCACTGGAAGCTAATTAGTTTAAGGGCACAGAAAATACCCAGTATAAGGAAAAAGGAAGAGAGAAAGCATCCCATCGTATCAAACGAACACAAGGGAATATAAGTTAGGAAGGAAAGTGAGGGAAAGGAAGGAAGTCACAAAAAGGGCTTCTAGAGCTATCCTGTCTCAGAGTGATGCTGCTCATTCCTCTCACAGTACCTCTCCTTTCTTCTCGGAGCATGGGCAGGAGGCGAGAGCATAGGCAGACAGCCATGGTGCTGAGTCCCATCTAGCATGGGCTCCTACTGTGGAGCTAACACCCTCCTTGGCCAAAGAACAGGATCCCAGACAATCCTGGCAATGAGGCAGGCATCTCTCCATGAAAAGTCAGAAGGAAGGCAAGGAACTGTTCCAGTGATTTCCATCCACAGGCCTGGGTTTCTCTTAAGGGATTTTCTGATGCTTGCCTCCAACCCCCAGTCGAGTTTATTTTGTTTGTTTGTTCATTTTTAACTAGGGCAAAGATACAAAACCAGAGACTGAGCTTTGCCAGCTTCACGTTTTTTCACATGTGGCTCCATGGGGTCTCTCTTGCTTTACTGTGGTGCAACCGGAACAAATTCCAGTCCTTGAGGAAGGATTTCAGTTTCAAGGGTTTACTTTTTGTTTTCGTTGGACTGATGAAGGTCAGAATCTCCCATATGCCCTGCCTGGGGTAGATCCCAGCAGCACGTGCCCCGCTTCCCCATGCTGCCCCAGCCTGACTGTCCTGGGAGAAATGTGGGAAGTTTAGTCTCCATGTTCATACCAACTCTGCTGTTCCCCAGCCTGTCAACAAGTGCTCCAGCCAGCTATGCCCACTATGTATTCTGATAGTGACTGTTTATGATGAACAGAACTATATTCCTAAACTCATTTTGTATAGACTAAGAAAAAAACATCTGCTGAGCACAGCACAGCCTCTGCTAGGACTCTCACAAGCAGAGGTCAGAGGCATGATCCTGCTGCACAGTATTACACAAGTGCTGGCACATGGTCATGGGGGAGATGGTTTTCCTTAAGTCATACTGTAGAGCAGTTGCAGAACTGGAGGTAGAAGCCAGTCTTCATGACTGACAGTCCAAATCTGCAGCAAGCCAAAGTCTCTGCCTATGCCACTGCCCAGTTCTGGAGACACATAGGCTACTCAAACCTCTCTGAAAAAGCACACTGGAAACCCATCTCCTTGTGGATTAAATATAACCAGGAGACCCCAAAGCACAGATCCAAAACCCAAATCCTGGTGTTCCAGCCACACTCTGAAACACTCCCAATATGATAACACAGGTCCCAGGTTTAGCCATTTAAAGGACAAAGGGCATTAGCAGGCAGCATCCCCAGAGAAGTATGCTGTCCAGTGGGTACATCACTAACAGCTGGCAACTAAAACAGGATGACAGCTTTGGAGGCTGCGTTTGGAAGGCACTGAGCCCCTCAGCTCCTGCTGTCTTCAAAAATACAAAGGGATGCAAAGCACTTCATAAACAAGACTAAAAATGTCTATATATAAGTTGCACGGCCTAAATGAATATTAAGATTAGTAAGTAATGAATAAGTCAATGTCTAAAATGAATGGATTGAGATCTTTATATGGTTGATTCTCTTATGGAGGCACCCATAACACCTTGGTACATCCATGAGACTCTGTTTCTTGCATTTATGTTGACTTGCGAGTACTGTGGTTTGTAAACTCAAGTTTCTAGCAGCTGCCTTTCCCTTTAGTTGCTGAACTGAAACTCTGCCATGACTTAAGAATAAAGATGGCTACTTGTTAAATTAGAGGTCAATTAACTCCACCAGTAGATGATGCCGCTTGCAATAACTGCTCTCAGTGGGTACCACTCTTCCTGTAAGAAGACAGAAGATGAAATGAGGCCTCCATTGGCTCTGGATGCTCTCCTGGGTACATGACATACAGCCCTGTGTATAAAATGTCAAAACAGCCCTGTCGGAGATTCACTGGCTGCTAAAACTGTGAAGATCTCACAGCACCGTGGATTGCTGTTGACAGAACAGCAGCGCCCAACATAACACATGCCTTGTTAGCAAACTGGAAGCCTCTCAGTAGTCTGGGGTGAGGGAATAATAGAGGAAGCCAACGCAACACAAGCCAGGCCTGTGGAGAATAGCAAGTGAATGAACCTTGGCGGAGAGTCCAAGCGAACCCTCAGATTAGCTCTTTTCTCCCCTCTTCAAACTCTCTCTTCTGCAAACACGGGCAGTTTTCAATGAGTGCTTCCCACCATGTAACCCAGCTGCAGAAATCAGCAGCATCTTCCTCAGAAATGACCACAACTGTCCTGCACAAAGTACTGGGAGAGCCTCACCACTAGTTTTCAGACAAGCCAGACCTAAGGCAACATGCCGACCATCCCACCATGACAATGGCTCTCTCCTACACAAGCATCTGTGTCCTTGCTTTTGGCACTCCTCCTGGCCACAGGGCACCACAGCCAGTGGTGAGACACCACAGGCACACCAAGTCAGGCTGGGGTAGGCATGCAGGTGGGCCGTGTGGCAGTGGTAGGCCCCAGACTACTGTGGTTCTTGGCTACAGCTTCTCTGTCCCTGCCTTCCAGTGCCACCATAAACCACTTTCATGCTCCAGCAGAGCGCTAAGACATCTCAGCATGGTGAATGCTGGGTCATCCCAGGGAGCCAGTATTGCTTTGGCAGGGCTGCGAAACAAAAGAAACATCAGCCTCAGAAACACTTCTTTATCCGCTGCTGCTGAAGAAACCAAAATCTTTACGTACAGTGACTTTGCTTTAAACAGTAACATTTGTGAATCCTGTTCTTAACCTTTTGCATCTGGCTTTCAAAATCTGCCCTGTTCTTTTTCCACGTGAAGGGCTATGGAGCTTGTTTGTGTTCTGGTGCTGGTGTGCAATGCTGCCAGAGAAGCGCACTCAAGCTGGCACAGACTGAAGCTGGTGAGCCACCCAAATTATAGTTGGGTGGTTCAGTCCCTCTCTATTTCAAGAAGCCTCTGAGTATAATGACAGGAAGCTTGCAGGCAATTTTAAGCCAAACCTCAGAGGCTGGCATTCAGTCTGTGTTAAACACTCCTTATTAAAAGCTGTCCAGTCCAGATTCTGGGTGGAACTTTGATATCTGCATGGAGTAAAGAATAAGGGGCACGTTTGCAAAATCAATTGTGCAGTTTTTATATTTACTGCACGTTTACCACATATGTCATTTATTACACAGTGGAAAACCGTTAAATGCACAGTAGTTGTGCCAAGTGGCATTATGCTTTTAACAGCTTTATTCGTTTAACAGCTCCAGTTCTCATTATATTTTGCCATGTGGTACATGAGATTTTTATGCATTTAACAGTTTAAGAAGGTTCCATGGTATTTTCCTTTTATGTATTTCATACTGTGCCTGGGATTTCGTTGGGGGGTACAGGGGTTGCGAACTGTAACCCCTGTACCCTGACAAGAGAAAGCAAAAGGAAAAGAAAATTAATGATTAAATGAGGAAAGAAAAATTAATCAGAACTCCACGTGTCAGGGCACAAATACCTGTAACAAGGACAAGGCCCTCCCATGTGCTTTGATAGCCTTTGATGCTTTGTTTATACGCCTTTCAACCGCTTATTTTACATCTATTTTAATGACTACAACGGTGTTTCCCTGCACAGAGGAAAAGAAAGCATGCGTTTTGCAGAGTGCATGCATCTAGATACTTCTATCCCACTCTCTCATACTCACAGCCCCATTTGTGTATTTTTGTGTGGATGCTGATGCCCTCTCCAAGCACAACCAAGCAACTTCATCCAGGATCAGAAGCAGCCCTTTTCAGTGAGTAAACCATTCCTTCCAGTGGGCTCTGATCTACTTGCTGCCTTTTCTACAGGAATTCTGTCTGTCCTCCTTTCCACGAAATCTCTTCTGGTGCATTATATTTTTTTAAAGAGTTGGATGAAATTTTTAAATTAATGGATTCTCTTCAAGAATGTCACCCCAACCTAGGTTTGCCCACATGCATTTTTTACACCCAAGGTAGAAATTCATCCAGGAGAACTCACTGCAGTGCCCTCTCATGTCTTTTTGTAAAAATGGAGATGATGTGAATTATTCACATGGCAATACCATATGCAGCACATACAACATGCAATAAAAAGGAAACACATGCCTAACACACGTTTTCCCATTGCCTTCCCTTAGCTAATCATGTAAGAAAACAATTTTTTTACCTGCCAAATGAGAAGGATACCATCATTTTGCAAAGTTCTTGTCCCACTAGCAGAGGTGTATGCTATATACCACAAGTGGGAAAAGGCATGCATTTTGTACAAAAGGGGAGAAAAAGCTTGGCTGTGAGCTGATCCTTTCCTCAGCCTATTTTAAAAGGGAAAAGGAAACCACTTAAGCAAGCAAAAGCCCAAAACACGACAGGTTCCCCAGAGATGAAGATTATTATTATTGTAGGAACAGATGGATTTTTATTGGTGGAAGGAGGAGATGGGTCTAGTTCCAACCCCAGCATTTGCTTTAAAAACAAAACCCCCAAAAGCCCCGCAACAACGAAATCCCCTCCACCACTCACCTGACTTTTATTGGCAGCCACTTTGGCAAACAGAGCTTGAGATACCTTGGCCCTTTTCATCTCCTGTTGGATCTCGTCATAAATGGCAGCTGTGATGTTGACATTGGCGCCGTCCGCCTTAATGGGGAGGTCTGTTGTTGGTGTGGAGGTTTTGGCCTACCAAGAGACCATGAAAATAATAATTAAAAAAGTGCTGCTTTCAGCCCAGCCATCTGTGCAGAAATTATCAAAGGATTTCAGTCAGCTGATGCCAAACTGCATTAGCTACAGAGGGACACTTCCTGTCCATTATTCTAATCAGGTTAATTGTGATTGGAAATAATTGCAGTGCATTCCTATAGGACATGCAAGGCCCTGTCAACTCTCCCCCTCTCCCTCTCCCAGCATGTTTACTGAGCAGCTCAACAATAGGATAGGTAGCCAGGGCCCTCGGCTGCAGGCAGGCACTGAGGCTGGCTTTGCCAGCTAGTGACGGCACCATAGGCACCAGTCTCTGCCTTCTCCCCCCTCTCTAAAAGTGGCCTACACCTTGGAGGAAGAGCCAATTCTCCCAGAAAAAATGAGTAAATGGGTAGAGGTCTCTAAATAATAAATTATTACTCAATTTAATGCACTCCCTCAAGTCTCCCTCATCCTTTATTAAAACTATACGTATGTCATTTGAGTATGTATGGTTTCCCAGCCTTGTCATCATTATGCTAGCCAGACAGTCACCTAATTTCACCTAGGAAATCAGTGGAAATGAAAAAAAAAATAATCATTTCATAAAGCTGGGCTTTGGCATGCCTTTGATGTGCTGCCCTCATTCTCCTAAACTCATATTGAGATTTTGTGTATTCCACTGCACTCCTTTTAATTGAATGATTTCCCATCAGCTTCTGTGACAAATGAAGGACAATAACGGATGCTGCCAGTACTTTTCCTGGGCTGGACTACCCCTACAGAGCTGCTGTTGATACAGTTCAGCAGGCTGCTGCAAGACTTCTATTTTAAAGCCCCTTGGCCATGGCAGTCCCCAGAATACGTGGGTGCAAGAGGGAGTGAGGGCAGCGTGATGCTTGCTGAGCACTCCTGGCACCAGCAAGTCCCTCAGATAGACAGATCTCATTTGCTTGAAGAGGGGCAGATCACTGCACCCCTTACACCTTTTATGGGAAGTAGGTAGGTTATTGATACAAACCCTTGGTTTTCTCTTGACATGTAAAGGTCCTAGGAAACAAAACAATCTGGGTGGGAAAGATGACACTTCCCGGTAGATCCAAACCTCCCCTAAACCTTGGTGACATTCAGATATTTGGCCCAATTATAAACCTTTTCAGCTGGCTCCTGGTTTTGTGCCACAGTTTAAGCCTGCTAGAGTACATCTGATGTTAATTTTTAACTAGGTAGACATGCCCAATGCCTATTTGTTAATGGGAGGGTTAACTACGTAAAACCAAACCTTCTGAACTCCTCTTTTGCTGTCCTCCAGATCTTCCTTTCCCTAATGTCTTTTTTTTTTTTTTTGTACCAAAGGCCACATTAATAACAGAGCCAAAATCCAATCAAGACAACAATCTAGACTAATCGTTCTTCCTACTCTTCCTACTGCTTTCAGATAAACCTTTAAACAACTTGTGCCTTTTCCCTTTCCTATTCCCCAAGCTCAGTAGGCATCGCTCTGGGATTATTCCCTACCTGTCCCCATGTAGAAAGGGCGTAAGATTCTCTTGCTGTGTTTAGCCCCCTGCATTCAGGCAGGGGCAGCTGGATGGCAGCTGGTACAGACCACAGACACCCATGCCCTGGGAGGCCAGTCCTAACCCGCTGCCAACCACAGGCCATGAACACACACGGGGTAAAGCCCGATGGATGCACACTCTGAAATTCAGTGTTCACAGACAGAAAGACAGGGCAATTGTGGGAAATGTGAGAAAGCAACATAGAGATCATGGGAAGGAAGAGGACTGTCTAAATCTGTCAGAGCTCATTTAGTGAAGCTTAATTTTACCAAAGGTCCTGCAGTGCTTCAGCAAGTATAAAAAAAGCCTTCCCACTCATTGGAGCCTTTGGCTGGTGCAGCAGCCAAGGTCACCACAGCCTCAAAGGCCATTACGGAGGCCTGAGATCCTGAGAAGAGCAAAATTAGCACATAAAAGAAAGATTTCAAATATAGCTGCATCCTACATGGGTCTCCTACACTGCTTAGATCCACAGCCACATGTCAGAAAAAGCCTGCCCTACACAACCTGAAAACTGTGCCATTTCTTATCCTATCGCTGAAATAAGTAGGGCAAGTACCAAACCAAAATAGCACAGTCACTAAAATATTGTATGCTAGAGACCCAGACTCAAAACTGGTCTTGATATTAAGAAGGAGTTTGCCATTATTGGAATGTCTCATTGCAAACAGTAAGGAAAAAAGAAAAATAAGTTTGCAACCACAGTGCCAGAGCACCAAAACCCAAAAACAGTACTGTTGGTCTTCCATAGAATCATAGAATCAACTGGGTTGGAAAAGACCTTTAAGATCATCAGGTCCAACCGTTACATCATGGCTGCCAAGACCATGACTAAACCATGTCACTAAGGTTTCTGAGTACTCCAAGGGATGGTGATTCCACCACTTTCCTGGGCAGCCTGTTCCAATACTTGATCACCCTCTTGGTGAAGAAATTTCACTTAATACCCAGTCTAAGCTTCCCCTGTCACATCCTGAGGCCATTACCTCTTGTCCTGTCACTCATTACTCGGAGAGAGATCCCCATGTGCACACAATAACCCTGAACAGCTCCAAGCCTCTTGCCCGCAGCGCTCGCATCCATCTGCCAAATCAATCTCCTGATCTCCTCTTGGGGCAGGTCCTAAGTAGGGGACACCTTGCAAGAAGGGCTTGGGGGTGGGGAGACCCAAGCCAGGTTATTCTGCGTGCCCTTATGCCTGTCTGGTGACTGCCCCAGTACTTCCACAGGTATCTGTCAGCACCCTCCTCCTACCCAGCACACTCAAGCATCATTCCCAGAAGTACTGCCACAGGAGATCGGTATCTATGGAAACCATGTTTCCAAATGCCATCCCATCAACTTCTCCGGCACCCTAACACAATTCCTGAAAGGATGGTACAGCTCCTACTGCTGCTGCCCCGAAGCACCCTGCTCCAGGCTAGGTAACATACCTGCTTGGAGGGGCAATGCTGCCAGGAATCGCTGTGCTGCACATGAGGATGGCATTTGTCTCGTCAGAACTAATACCAGGCATATGGGGAAGCGCAGTAGCCGTGCTGCCTGCCCGGGAGCTGGGAAGCAGCCTCATTTGCAGAGGTGTCCAAGTTGTCAAAACAGCACCTGTGCTGACTGGTGCTGGCCCTCTGAGGGCTGGGGAAATGTTATCCAGTGGGCACAAGGCAAGTACTGGGTACACAAACCTTTGTGTGCTGCTTTAGCTGAGAGAAAACCTCACATTATTCTACTGGATGCTTCAAGCCAAAATAAAGCAAGGATGGGCTGCTTTATACTTCTGGAGTATGGTTTTCTATCAACGCTTGGCTCTTAAAAAGACAGGCAAAGTTTCCATTAATTTAAAGGATTTTCTAGCTACAAATATGGGAAAAAGTCATATTTTGACAGAGGAACGAGACGGGGCAACAGACACAATTTTAATTTTTACTGGATTGCACCGAAACTCTCCATTCCCTTCTGTTATTTGATTCTACTTGCAAAATCTACTGCAATTAATGTAAGTAGGAATAAGCTAATGCTTTCATGAAAAAATACAAATGCAGAAAGCAGATACCCTACTTAACCATTAAAATAGTTCTCTTTATAATTTTATTTTCACTGAAAGGTACCTAAAACACGTAAGAGGTATCCAATGAATTTCCCATGCAATAAAAATTTAGTGTTACAATTAGGTTGGCAGGATATACTTGCTTTCAATGAAAACAGTTGTGTACATTACGTTTGGTGGCAATCTGCACCCAAAACCCTGGGTTAAACTGAACAAGCTCAACAGTTCCTACAAAATCAACACACCTTCCTTATGGATGATCACTTTGCATGTAAAACTATACTGTCGTTCCACACACCCCCCCTCCACTTACTTATTTTTAGCAGCTGTGGCTACAGAATTCAGTATGAGAAGCGCTCAGTAATGCTATTCTAAGGACAGCTAACAGCCCGAGACTTTTTGCAGGCTACATTACTATGAAAGCACTAAAGCAGGAGGGTTACATGGACTCATTTACTAAAGATCAAGAGAAGTGCTAGAACTGACTCGTCTTCACAGTAGAAATTTCAAACTCAAGTTAGAAAACATCATGACAGGGGTCAATTATCACCTCTGTGCAAGCAACTTTGCTTTTTCAGGGTATATGTCTGGGACTGCAAGCAGGCTGGTGAAAGGGAGGGATGACTGTTACAGTATAGTATGTGGATGCTCTTTCTTAGTGCAAAGGAACAACCTACCCAGGGAAGTGGGCGGCAGCAGCACGCTAATAAACACGTGCAGTTAAGTTAAATGAGATGACAGCTGGTTTGGAGCTGGAAAGCATCGTCCTCTTCCCAGCAGGCTGCTGCCCATCTCTACTTTCTGTACTTCAAATAATTACCCGTGTAAGCTTCTAACTCGAGGAATGTGATTTCCTATGCGTAATACAGAGCACACTGACTTCTAGCAATGTCTATCTAATTAGCTGTTGACTTCTGTTCAATACACACTTTTTATCGCAACATATACGAACCTCTCCATAAGCCCACAAATTTCCTCTGTATTTTGCAGAACACAATGGACACATATAAGAACCTATGTGCACTGTCTTTTTACAATGGATTCTGTAATAGCCATTTAGTGGATGTTTATCAACAGCCTACAGGTAATGCCCACATGGACTCTTTCAGACACTGATGTTACAGACTTTTTTGAATTTATGGCATTGATTAAATCTAGAATCATCATCACAATGTTGTACTTAAATCCACTAAACATCTCTTAACAGCCACTCCAAAACCTTACAACAAAAGGATTTCCACACCTCATCTGGACAAGGGGAGCAACAGACAGGGAAGGGCAATGAAAAACTCTTTCCCTGGACTAATCCACACAACAAACAGAAAAGGAGGGATCACATCTTACCTGGGGAGTTCTGGAGGAGCTTGGGCTGCTGGCAGCTGAAGACACCATGCTCACGTTGGGGTTCATACTTCTCTCTCTCTCATCCTGATAGATACGATCCCGTTCCGAGTCAGGCAAGTTGAGGAAATTCTGCATTGCCCTTAAGTTTACCAGGAGGGACTGGGAAGCTGTCCTTGGGTCTTCTTCTTTACGCAGGATCTCTGATAACAAGCCCTGGTTCAAAAAATTAAAAGGAAAAAAAAAAAAAAGCTCAGTCATGTGTTGGGCTTTTTTAGTTTTTCCCTTTTTTCTTTAAATTTATTTAGTGTAACCAGCTGGGTTGCAATACTGAGAACCTACATCAGAATCGCATGGGCTCTCCCAGAGGGGATATTCTGTAGGAAAACATTTGTCTTCTGGGGGCTGAGGTTTATTTTAGGACTGTCCTATTCTGGCACTGTAATAAGCTTCTGAGTATGGAGATGCTGTATAGAAAGGTAGGTGCACTGGGTAGAAGAAATTGCAGTTACTACCAGGTGCTTGCTGCAAATATTTTAGGAGCTGTTAGATCTCTCTCTCTCTCCTCTATCTCTCTTTTTACTTGAAGCTGGGAACACTTGGCAATCCTGTTCATCTTTGACAAATCTGCCAAGGTTGGTAAATTTAGTTTCGACATTTAAACAGTGCAGGAGGTTTATAAAGAAAAACGTTTGGCTGGTTACAGTCCGTTCATTTTGGTTTGGACAATCATTTCTGAGGAGAAAAACAAAGCAATAATAAAGCCTTCAAATCTAGCTTTAGGGATTTAACCCATTCTTTCATGCCTCATTTTAAGATACCACAGGCTTGACATAACAACCATGAATGAAGACCATGTTCATCTCCTTTTTACACAAGCCATTATTCCAGGAGGTAATGATCACAGCACTTCCAAGAAAAAAGAAAGAGGGTGGGAAGACTTGGAGAGATGAAAATGTCATTAAAAGAGGCTTAAATCTAATGGGATTAAATTTCTGCATAACTGTACATACGCGGCAGTTCCACAGGAAGTTAAAGGCACAACACACAAGCCTGGATCAGGGCCTACAGAAACTGCTGGGACATTGTGCACCACCAGCTTCCCCTAGGCACCCCTTGCATCCAGCACTTCACAAATGGGTGTTTCATTCCAAAAAGCAGTAACAGCAATGGCTAATTGTACTGGTGTCCAGAGAAGCAGAAAGGGATTTAGCCACTGAGACTACTTATATACCATAAGAAACGTTGGTTGGATGTTCCTCATTTTAAAAGGCTATACTGCTAGTATGTTTCCCTGAGCAGTCCAACACTGCTCCTGCTTCCTGCCTGCTGTGACCCAGAGGTTCTCTGCACCACTGCTCCCTAGAGTGCCGGCCACAGAAGCCATGTGAAATCCCAGTCACAGCTTGGAGGGCTCCCTTCGACCTGCTGCTGTGACAGGAGCAACATCCAGCAACCACAGCCGAAAGGAGAACGCAGTGCCCCAGACATGATTTAGCTGTAGCTGTTGACACAAGCATTCTGCAGTTACTTTACAGCCACGATCAAGACAAGCTGCCTCATGAGTACAGCCAAAGCTTACTCCTTCCTTGTAAGAAAAATCTTAACCACAAAGTCAAAACCCTGTAATATTTAGTCTTAGTTTATTTTCTTCCGTATCAGAGAGTCTCCTCCAAAAAGCCTTGCTAAAACACTGCCGCTACAGTTGGCCAATTAACCAAATGCCAACATTTTTAGCATATATTGTATTTACCAGACTTCCTGACAAAACCAACAGACCAGCAAACAACTTATCTGTATCTGAATTCATCTGCTAACTGCTATTAAACACCTACATTAAAACACATACATGAAAGCTCTACTTCAGCAGTGTTTATGCCTAAGTGCTCAAAACAAGCTCCACACACAACCTGAAGCTAGGCTGCACAGAGCTCCATCTTTTCAGCTCCTCATCTGAGGATCAAGCTGAGAGATTTCCAATTACACTTTCCTGCAATTATCAGGGTAGTTACCAGGAGGACTGGAGCAGGGAATGGAGCCATGGTGGGACCCTCCAGTCAGAAATGGAATCGGAAAGAGAAACCGATCAGCAAAAAAAGGTTTACACTAGGGAAAAGTATGAAGAAGGTGGAGTGTTGGGCTGGCATCTGGTATTCTTTGGGACCTCAACATAACTGCATGATTGTACTTGGCTTCTTCTGCAGGGTTTACTACCCCTCAGAAGAGCTAGGGACATGCCGAAAAGCTTGCCAAAGCTTGCCAGGCTCACAGGCTGAGGGAGATTAACCAAAAAGAACATCACAGAAGCTTGAAGCCATGACTTGAATGATTCAAAGATCGATACAGCAAGTTCCTATTAGAACTTTTCCTTAAAGTCAATGGAAATTTGTCTAAATATAGTAAATAAATTTCAGTTACACAGGTTCTCTAAATTCTTAATTTTGTGTGGTTGCTAAAGGATATATATCTTCTTTTTTAAAAAGAGAATATCAACTTCAAAGCTGATCAGTTTAGGTAGAAAGAACAGTACCGGAAAACGACTTGGGCTTCAGATTTCTGAGACAGCTTATTCTCCCTCTCATCTTAGCCTGGCTAAATTTATGGTCCAATTTCAAAAATGGAGAGCAGAAACATATGTGAAAGCCTGCCAGCAATTACTTTTCAGTGCCGTCATTGACTCCCTATGTAAATCAGATTCTCACAGGAACAAGTGGCTCGGTCATGGTACTCACCCCCTGGAACACCAACTCTTGTGCTTGAAGGCTCTGATTCATTACCAGAAACAGCTTATCATGGGGTTTGAACCCCAGCCTGCACCTCTCACTTCTACAAGGGTCTTGACTCTGCTGCAGGGATATAGCAATCTTTTGCATCACCTCCTAACGCAGGTACCTGCTCCAGGGAGAAGGGACCATCTCCTTCCCCAGCATCGTGACAGAGGCAGCCCTTTGCAGAGCTGAGCCTTGCTTCACCATACCCCACTCCAGGCCCACAGGTAGGAAACCTAGTTGTAAAGAGGGTTTTTCTGCAGCTCTTCCAAGTGCTTTGGCAGCTTAGGAGCCATGTAAACAGCAGGACAGATAATAAGGAAAGCGACTCAGAGGAAAAACTCTCATGTCCTCTTTCAACTGAAGATAAACGCCACTGGTAAACTGCAGTGGGTAGATAGCTGAGCGATAGGGTAGGACAATAAAGTAAAGTATCTTGAGAGCAATAACATTTACAATAATATAATTCTGAGCTACTGAAGTATACACAAACTAACCAGTGAGCAACGTTCTAAAAAATAAAGTGATATTAAATAATCTGTTCAGCCTTTTTGTCACCTGCAACAAATTAGGCTTTCAATATGCAAACCATCTTCCTTCCAGAAAAACAAATGATCATGATTTCATTTAATTGTAATTTAATGAGGCATAATGTATTTTTTAAAGTGATACACACCAGGTGTGTGGTGAGGAAACTGGCCCAGCCAGACAAACCCTACTGCTTCTATTTTTGAGAAAACCCTAAAGCCAGCCAGGGACTGTTTTCATTTCTGCAAATTATGTTTCTGCTGGAGGGAGTGAGGGAGGGAAACCCACAGCATTCGTACATTTGTTATAAAGCTCCATTGGCTAAATTAGCTCATTCCGACTTACTTACATCTCACATATTAAAATAAATGCACTAAAAAATTGGCACTTTGCAGAGTAAGCTACTCTGCACACCTAGAAGATGATCTTCAGGGACCGGGAAGTCTCAAACTGATTTTCAATAGCCAAACAGATCTTCTATACCAAATGCAGCTCTCAGGATACATTTTAGGACATGTAGCTTCATGATATCTTTGCGTTTCTGCTCCTGTGCCTCATTTGTAGAACAGTTGCTGAAGAGGCAACTGATGAGAAGTTTGATGCTCTCACACGCCATGCTCACAGCGATGTGTGCGTTACTGTGCAGGCACAGTTTGGTTTAGCCTTGAAAACTGCAGCACTTTCAAAATGAGACAATGGATCCATAATTGACTTTAAAAATACCAGTGGTGGGGAAAGGAGCGTATGTCCAATTCAAATAAAAAAAAGTCGTTGGATCTATTTAAGGTAGGAGTAATTTTAACAGTGTTTTTTCAAAGTAGCAGAAATGTAGTCCTTCAAGCCAGCAAAGTCACTGTCGTGGGTGTTTGCTTTTGCACTTATCTGATGAAACCCCATTTATGAACTCATTTCTTTTATTTTTATTAACTACAGGATTTCTAGCACAAACAACCCAAGCCTCATAGGCAAGAAATCTCTTTTTTAGCAATTTCTGAAAGATGATGCAGTACAATGTAGAGCAAATGTTCTTCAAACTGCCTCCTATACCCAAAAGACCAACTGACTAGCCATCGAGGCCAACACCAAGGCTTGATCAAAGCCCACTGAAGGCGAGCAAAGCCTTTCTGCCTTCTTCCCAAAGGGCTTTGGCTCAAGCCTGGAAAGGGTGCAAATGAGATCTCAATGGGACAGCAGACTGCACTGCCAGTGCCCAAATACTGGACAGTTTTGCAACCAGAGCTTTTCAAAAGCAATCTGTATGGGGGTGAGGAGGTCATGCTGGAGTGCAGCCCAGACACCCATGTCCTGAGGACAGAGGAGGATGAGGGCCGTCAGGCAGCAGGAGACTCCCAAGCACTGGCCAGGCCTTCACACACATCAGGTGTGATGACTTGGATGGGAGCTCTGCTCCCCTTCATACAGACCTAAGCCATGTGTCTATGAGAGCAGGCACTAAGGTTAAAAAGGTTCAACACATGCTTGGGACAATCAAAATGCTGGCCAAGGCAAAAACTTAAATAAACCTGACTAATGTGCTAAACCTCAAGTTTTATGTTCTGTATAAGGAGAGTATATACATGAAGGACTAAAAAAGCATAAACACTTTTTTCATACTTTTTGGTTTATTTGTGCCTGACCATACTTCAGCTATTGCCAAAAGCAACAGAGAAAATGCTGAAATACTAGAAAAATACTGCTCCTGTAGTACTTAAACTTCCACCTGCTTTAAGGCCAGTACTTTTTCTCAATAGAAAACCTATTCTGCTTCCCACCAGGTACAGATGTGACTCTGATCAGGATCTGAAAATGTATGGTTTTATTCAACATCTGAACCTTAAAGATCAGTGATATAAACCTGTCCCCTCTCCAGTTAAGCATGCAAGGCCAATTTCCAGCATGGAAAGCAGCACTTGAAGAACC